GGCCCACCCCAAGCTACCACACAAGGTTAGTCTGTTATCACTCACCTTAGGCCAAGGTAAAACCCTAAACTAGGACCCTCCTACTGTTCTCACGACATGCCTCACTCATCTCTACTTAAGAATGGATAACCATTAGAATGTGAGGATAAACTCCAAGACTGAACTTTTTATATTCATATTTACAACACATGACAACCATCCATTAGAAGTTTATCTTTGGAACTCTTTTCCACCACTTTCATTCACACTTTGATAATCTCATAATACTTTACATCCAATATATGAAATTGATAATAAAATTGTTTAGGATCATAAAAGAACAATGAAAAACATAGATTATATATGTAGAAGTGAATTTGGTTTAGATTGGTCAAAATTTCACATATTGGTAGTAATAATAGATTATATTATAATCTAATCTATTAAGGCAAGCCAAAATTCACATAAAACAAAACAGGACAAAACTGCTTGTTTTAATCGATTATAATAGTGACATAATCGATTAGACTAAAGTGTTTGTTTTAATAAATTAAATTTCATAATCGATTAAGCTATAGTGTTAGTTTTAATCGATTAAATTATAGCCATAATTGATTAAAACAAAAACTATTGTTTAATTAATTAGTACGACTTTGGACACTTTCCCCACAACTTTTATTGATCCCTAGAGCCTCAAGAACCTTGAGAAAATGTACCTTTAACTCAAATTGACCACTTCAAACCAACTTAATAGCTTAAACTATACAAAAATCAATCCTATCTCTTGTAACACTCAAATTCTACAACCAATAGCATTTTATACATTTCAACAAATTAAATTATGATTATACGAAAAGAAAAATTCTTATACCGCTAAGGCTTTTTAATAAAATTAATAAAATGATAGCATAAATATTTGGATTTAATTTCAATGATTATTGATACAAAACATTTGTATTGTTAGCTTAAAAGATAATATTTAAAATATATTTTTAACATTAATTATCATAAAATGAAAGAATAATAAAATGTTTCCTCCTTGTAAATACTTCTATTTAGAACATTTTTAAGTATTTAATGTAAACATTTTGGTACAAAATATAAAATATAATTGATCAGATTGTGAATCAAAACTCAACAAAAGTCCATACAATTTATTAAACTAAAATATACTTTTAACTTATATGAAATAACAATAAATGCTTATATTTTTTGTTTTTAATTTGAAAATAATTAATTTTTATATACTACTTATGTGATAGCTGCTAATCATTCATTGATTATTTATGTATTAAACAAACAAATTTGATAATTACAGATGACAAAATGTTAACAAGTGATGTCTCCAGAGTTTGTTTAATTTTCAAATTTTTTATCTTATAATAAATATTAGAGAGTTATAATAATTATTCCAAATTAAAAAAAATGATAATTTTTTAAAGATAAAAACTCGTTTATTTCATGAAAACTAAAAATACATTCAACTTTTTTTAATAATTCACTGTACTACATTAAATTAAGTGTAGGTATAAAAAGTAAATATATAGCTCTGAACAGAGAGCCGCGTGTTACAGATATAATGCTAAGGTAAGTCAGACACTCAAGAAGAGAGAGATACAGGATCACGAGATTTCTGAGGTTGTGTTTTTTTATCTTTTAAACACTTTTATAATTATATTATGTATAACAAAATTCATAATTTTTTTTTTCGTTAAATATGTTTTTAATTTTTAAATTATTAAGTGAATTTGTTTTTAGTCTCTTTAAAAAATAAGATACATTTTAGTCTTCTTTCTTAACGAAAGCTTAATTTTGGTCCTCCAAAACCAACGACGCTAAAAAAAAAAGTTGACGTGCTTAACGTCTGGCCACGTGTTGACATATTTTCTTTCTATCGTTTACACGTTGGATTTTTTCAATGTAAACGTCAGCTTCTCCTTGACGTTAGTTGCCTTTCTTTTTCCCTGGGCAAAACACCATCTTCTTTCTCTGTGAGACCAGCAGCACTCACCGAACCAGCACCCATCGAACCAGCACCTCCCTCTGGTCAGCCAAAGGCGTCTCCGGCAATGCCGCTCGTCGACAGACTCATTGCCAGCGACCGCGAAAGCCCTTCTTTTATGTCTTCTTCTTGTGCGCGAGAGAGAAACACCCTCACTCAACGGGATGCATTCTCCAGGCCACCGACGAGGCCAGCCGCCGCTGGTGCCTCCGCAACGATCTTGGCCATAATCGACACCGCATAACACTTGGAAGTGAACATTGTGGTCGTCTTCTGCTTGGTCTCGAACAGGCCGGAGAGATCAAAGCCCGATGACATGGAGGAGATGAACCGAATAGGCCGGAGAGATCACAAGTTTTTCTTCGATTTACGTGTTTTATTGATTGGCGGTTTTCTTTGTGATTTCGAGTTTTCATGGCGTTTGGCAAACCTCTGTTCCTGGCGGCGATGTTGTGCGACCACTGAATTCAGTAGCGCGGAGTGTGGCGGAAGAGTTTCTCGTTTTGCCGATGTTTATGGCGGTTCCTGGCGCGATGCCGATTTTCTGTCATGCGCTTGTCTCTAATGCTGGCTTGGTTGGAATGAGGTACGGGAATGTGACTTCGGGAGGTGGCGGTGCTGCTGCGACGTTGTGTGTGTGGCCTGCTATGCCAATTCATAATCACAATCCCTCTGTGAATCCTGCTGTTGGGTTTGTTCATGCTCCTAATTTTACCAATAGGGTTGGTGTTGTCGGTGGCAATGCTGTTAATGTTTCGAGTAGTTTTGTGGCTGCTACTCATGGGTTTCCTATGAATTTGGGGGGTAACTGGGTTGCATCGGTAATGGCCCCGATAGTATTAATTGTGACTTTTAATGATTTGGCCCGGATAGCATCATGTGGTTATCAAATATCAACTCCCTGATGAGGATCTGGATGCATTGGTTTCGGTTTCCTGCCCTATGTTGATGAAGCTTGGGAACCTTGGAATTTTCTAGACCTTCTAGCCCCCTTGATGAAGCTCCTTGTCCTAGCCCCTCTGTTGATGACAGCTACCAAAATACATCTAATAACCTGTTTGATGTTCGACCATTTAGGACCATTAGAAGGGGCGACTTGCGATTACAGTGGAGGTGTTCGAGGTGGCGTCGGAGGTGACTGTGGTAGAGTCGGAGAGAGAAGAAGGGAGAGGATTGGGGAAAGATTAACAGTTTCAGAAAAAAAAATTACGTGTCACACCACCGTTAGGCACATCAGCTTATTTTTAACGCCGTTGATTTTAGAAGACCAAAATTAAGCTTTCCTTAAGGAGGAGGACTAAAATGTACCTTACTTTAAAAAAAAACTAAAAACAAATTCGCTTGATAGTTTAGGAACTAAAAATATATTTAACCTTTTTTTTATCTAAAAAGTATTTTTATTACCTTTGATAATGACTTTCTTTTATTACTATTTTTATTATTATCAGTGTAAAAAGTACGTTGAAATAGATATATATTTTAAAAGTTACTGACAGAAGTAAACGATGCAAGCTATATATAGTAAAAATTTAGAAAATGACTTTAAGAATTAAAAACTATCATAAACTAATGGGTAATTTTTGAAAACTAAAATATTCTATAATTTAATTTCTTTTTAAAATGAGGTATAGAAAAAAAAATCTTAGATAGTCATGTGAACAGATTGGTATTTGTTTTGTTTTGATCTATGAATTGATTTTGTATTTTGTTTTGGTAGGTTGTTCTGAAGTTTGTGTCTCAACCATGTCAACGTCGGTTAGGGGGTTTTGGAGACATGCCCGTGTAAATAAATTCAAATCACTCAGGGCCCATCTTTTTGGACCCTTTCAGAAAAACTTGTCTCCTTACCCTCCAAAAATTTACTGGTTTTTGCTATATACACTCCTCAACTTGCATATATACCCTTTTCTTTCTCTACTTCAAATACTTTTCTCCCTATTCTCCTTCTTCCCTCTCTATCCTATTTTGTACCTCTTCTACTTGCACTACCTCGCAACTCTATCTTATTAAATAACAGATAACAATTATATTATAATAAATATTTTATTTATAGGTGGCATAGTAATAAATTGACCTGATTGTTATAATGTTAAAAATAATAATTAACATATTATTTATTGCTTTATTTTCATGGTCATGTATTGATAACAAAAATAATTTGTTATCAACAATTTTATTTCTTGTCTTTTTTGTCGAAACATTTATCATTTAGGAAGCCTTGTTTTAATGTTGTATTCTGTATCTATCCAAACAATAAATGCAGGTATCTGTTGTTAGGTTGAATTAAAAAGCACATGAAAATTTTGAAATAGCATTTTATTCCACGATTCTGAAAGGTACTTTTCAAAATTGCTTCAAAATGACTAATGCAATTATATCAATCTTAGTTATTCGTGTATGAAATGAATAATGTCATAAAACGCATTTATAAATTAAAAATATAATTTAAACAAGTTCATAAAAAAAACCTCCATTTTCCCTACGAGGAAAAAAAATACACAAAACGCAAATTATTCTCCAGTATAACAAATTGTCATTATAAAGACAGGTAAAGGAAGAACTTAAATTCAATCCTATACATAAAATCTATAGTAAAATGGGAGAGACAAATACAAGGAACCTAACAGATGTTAGAAGGACAAGGACTTCATTTTAAATTTAATTATAACAAGTATGAATATTGTCATTTCTTATAATGTTGATTGCATTACCTTTTTCATTGTGTAGCTCGCATTCTTTTTCTTCTATATCGATTATTTCTAAGAAAATTAATTATGAATTTCTGTCTAAACCAAATAATACATACCTCATTTGGTCCTATTATTTCCCCCTTTCGTCTAACGTAAAATCAGTCCTATGTACTTCTTGATAATAATCCATACATTTCTACATTAATTCAAATCACATGATGAAAGAAAAAGAGAGACATGGGTTGGATTATCATATTACATTTTCTCCAACAATTGAAGAAAACTAACATGATTCACAAGGATATTGATTTGTTTTTTAAAATATTAAATTTAAATGAAAACTGTGCTGCATCTGGAACTTAATTTTTCAATTTTAAAGTTCAAAGGACTCGCATAGAACAGAGTACATACATATCATACTTGATTAAAATCAATTCAACACTATTTATTTACTAGTGTAGAAAGTGAGGTAAATAACTACCGAAGATAACAAAGAAAATATGAAGTAGCAGATGAACCAATGACTTAGCCCATGGCATATTTTTGAGTCCATGACCGGGCAGTGGCCTCATACTTGGATCTATCAGTTTTGTACATATGAGCAATCTCGGGCACCAGAGGATCATCTGGGTTGGGATCTGTCAGCAGAGAGCATATGGACAAAAGGACCTACAAAATTTTAACATTTTTTATTATATCACTGGCAACAAAATTAATAAATAAAAAGAAATTATCAGATAGATTACCTTGGATATTGTGAGGGCAGGGCTCCATTGCTCTTTGAGAATGTCTAGGCAGATACTACCATTACTGTTGATATTAGGATGGAAAACCTTCGTTCGGAATGAAACCTTAACCAACAGATAATGAATACGTATTAAAAAACTTGCATTTGCAAGTGATTATGTCTAAAATCCTTGAATTTCTCTACTCACCATTAGCCATTTCTTTAACTGATAATGATTTAAAAATATAAAAAAATTAAACAAGAGTCCACAACCAATGATCTGATGAATAAATCAGATACATTTTCTTTATCGGCAAATCAGATACATTATCACACTGAAAGTCCACAACAAATAGTTTCAATCCACTACAATTGAAAATGCATTACCCTAAACTTAAATTGAAATTCAGTAATTTACAACACTTCAATGAAAAAATCTAATGAGATTAAAACTCTTGATACAAAAAAAATTCATAGTTAGCACAAGAAAAAGCAGTCTCAGTGCATCCATAGATATAAACATATACATAACAGAATTGTGAATAGAGTAGTAGAAATTTGATTTACCTTGGGTGGTTTGAAAGGATAATCAGGAGGGAAGTGAATTGTCACAATAAATACACCTCCAGCAAATGGGCTATCTGCAGGGCCCATAATTGTAGCTTGCCAATGGAACATGTCATCAGCTACTGGACCTGAATATAAAAGTTCAATTATTCAGACATTGACGGACAAAGAACAGTCCAAAAGTTCTGACAGGTTTTAAGCAAACGAGAATAATTGGGGTCCTATCTTAGTTCCTTACTGCCATACCATGGCATTATTTTATTTCTTTACCCACAAAAACAATTGATGCATAACCAGGGATGAAGTCTTCAAAATTTTCTATTTTACTAGCAGAATTAGCAGAAGAGTCACACTGTCGGCTATATTCTATAGACTTTGATGAATGATTGTGTTAACTAGCAACACAAAAAAACAAAACCCCTAAAAGTGCATAGTCTCAGGCATGTACAAAATAGAGTAATCATAAAAAAAGCCGTCAAGCAATACTATAAAAATAAATAAAGAACGTAACAAAGTTCATCAAAGAGCAATATCGACCAACAATTGTTCAAGGTTTTAAATTGATGTCACAAGGATACTTTTTTCATGCTCTTGGATATTCACGGAAGTAGCAGACATATATGGCCAATTTGGTCACAATTGTGGGCTGACACCCAAAATATCTAACACGAATAATCAACCATCACATTGAAAATTAGTATAGACAAATTGTGGATTGTTATAGACATCACTGTCGGAAATGCAGCCACAATTACTGTGGCAGACACCAAAAACCTTAACTTTGCGACTGAAATTGCAGCCACGGACCTTTTTTAAAATGGTGCACCCATTCCATAGTAACAGTCTATACCATACTACCAAAAAGCAGTCCGCAAAAAATGTAATTTCTATCCCAATTTAAAAATTTTTGAAACCACCGAAAATTGCTAATCAAAACTGAAACAACAACTACAACCATAACTTCGAAACCTTAGTCTATACACTTGGCCAAAATCATATTTTTTCAACGAAACTAAGTAGCGGAAAAGAGCAGAGAAACATACCAGCACTGCAGGATGCAGGGGGATCTTTCTGCAGGTCCTTCAATTCCTTGTTGATTCGTTTGGTGGCCATCTGATCAACGCTGTCACATTAAAAATTGCATTTATTTATACATAAGCACACACATATACATTCACTTGGAATATCTTCACTATTATTTATCACAGTTAGACAATACATTAGGAGGAAAAAATCCGATGAGAATGAAATATTAAAATAGAAACTGATGATGGGATGAGAGTAATTTTGAATAAAAAGCAAAATATGGAAGGAAAGAAGTGAGAGATGGAAATGGAAAAGAGAAAATTTGACAGACCTTGAGTTGTGCTAGGGTTTGGGGTTTGAGTGTTGTGGAATTGGAAATAAAAGAAGAAAATAAAACAAGAGAGAATTTGAAAGGTAGAAATTTAGAGCTGAAAAACCGAGCTCTGTGGCCTTCTTTTCTTGCCACGCACTGGGTTACCTGGCACTCCCCCCATACCAATGCACAACTTCATTCCTTTTTTTTTCACTATAAAACAAAATATTATTTAATCTTTTTACCTTTAGTACTTAATATAACTTTAAAATAAACATCAAACTAAAATTATTTTATTCACTGATTTATGCGTAACTGATTATAATTAAAATGATTTTTATTTTGATAATTTTGTGAAATTAGTTTTAAGATAATTTATTTTATTGAATGCATAACCAAATATTTTAAGTTAGAGAAGAATAAAAAATGTGTTTTTAAAATTTTAAAAGTATTCTGTTTTAATTCAGAGAATTACAACAGACTTTTAGTTCAGAGAATTGAAACAGCCTTTTAATTCAGAGAATTAAAACAGACTTTTAATTCAGAGAATTAAAACAGACAATTTTCAAATGATGAAACGGTAAGGTTTTTCATGCTTTGATTTAGCATCACTCGATAGTGCACATTTAATCCATAACATTAATTGAAGCATGCTGAGGAAGTAGTAAAATGTGTTGGGCCAGTGAAATCTATTTTGATTATTTCTCTTGAGTATGTCAATCTAGGGTGTTGCTCCTCCACCATCATACCTTTCTCTCTCCATTTTTTCAATATTTTTAATTCCAATTATATTTTCAGATTAAAATTTTTTATTTTTACTATTTTAATTTATTTTAAACCTAATTCTCCTACTTTACTCCCTACCCTAAAATAAT